ACACATAAAAAACATTAGTGGGCAGTGACACACCACCAAGTAAATGATAACATTAGCAAAATAAAAACTGTATAAAGAAACAGTTAATGGAGTCGGAAAACTGGGAACGTGCATGACGTATAAAGCATTGGTTTATAATGGGAATGGATTTTATTTTATAATAAAAGACGACAGCACAAGTGTTGAATCGAAAATGTTAATTGCAAAAGAAAAAAAATAGTAAAAATAAATTACTACTGTTGGATCCAGACATATCAGCCATTAAAAAACGTTGTACATTTTACACATATATTATAATCTTAAATTATTGTACAAAGCCGTTTTATGGCAATCCACTTACAACATCTCAGTGAAGGAGTCCACAGTTTCAAAAATTTCAGAACCGCTGGCCTAAACGACTTCTAAAAATTGATTATGAAAATCGATTTTCAATATTCGTCGTGGGAAAGAAAAAATGGTCCATTATGTAGCTTTTTGTTTAACTCCAACCAATCCTAATGGGATATTTTGTTGTTGTTTTTTAAATTTTCGGAAAGCTACATGAGGACTATCTGTAATAGTTGTCCTTAATTTAGAAGTGATAGACTAGAGGTAAAGTAGCTAGTGAACACCACTCACCACTGTAACGGATTTGCTATTATACATATATTTTGATATCGATGTTTGTTTAATTAAGTTGAATTTATATTTAGAAATGTACACAACTTATACTGTTTAAATCTATCTGTATTGGGAATTCCCCGCCGATTCACTAAAGTTGTAGAAGATTCTCGAGAGTAAGAATCAACAGTACATGTGTGTGCATAAACATTACTGTATCGTCATTATTGTTGCGTAAGCTGAAACTTCGAGAAACTCTCCTCACGCCTATAAATATATTCAACGCCAAAAGACAGTATATATTACTGATTTGCTACAGTTGGTATACTATAAACCTCAGAAGCTATAATTGTGATTAACGCTTATTAATCGGGAAACTTCAGATATTTGAACGGAACATCTATAAATTTCGAATATTATAAATCATTTAACTTCAGTGGATTCACATCGGACATTAGTATTTTTTACGGAGACATTATATAACTTCAGCGGTAAAAAAACTCGACCTATAATCGGCGTGTGATCAGCTATGACCTTGTTAAGTGAATTGCATCTACATCAACTCAAAATTAATTCGCACATCGTGAACCCTCGATAAGACATCAAGGAAGTTCCAGACCAGAAAGAAGACTCGATACTGTTTGTAAGTTTGTAAATCATTTGTACATAAATCATTATTTGTAATAACTATTATTGTAAATTATATTGTTGTTTGTATATTAAAACATATTTGTATTAAGAAAGAAACTGAGTGTGTGTCTAAAATCTTGTTGGCAAATATCATAAATTGAATACATATTGGCATTTATTTAACTACTAAATCTAAATTACAATTTAACTCAGTTTTAGGTTATTTAAATTGTAATATGTGACACCACTATCTATTGAATTACTCTTTTACCAACGAAATGTGGGATTAACTGTTGAGCGCCATAACCACCATGCTCCGAATGGAATGTAAGGACTGACTGACATTTATAACTTACCACAGCTGAAAGTGTAGTGTGTTCAACAGAATGTCACGGTTAGAACCTTGAATCTTGCAGTTCACAGTAAATGTTTCCAGTAAATGTTTGTATGTTTTGAATTTTGCGCAAAGCTACACGAGGGCTATCTGCGCTACCGTCCCTAATTTAGCAGTGTAAAACTAGAGGGAAGGCAGCTAGTCATTACCACCCACCGCCAACTCTTGGGCTATTCCTTTACCAACGCATAGTGGGATTGACCGTCACATTATAACGCCCCCACGGCTGAAAGGGCGAGCATGTTAGGTGGGACGGGGGATTCGAACCCGCGACTCTCAGATTGCGAGTCGAGTGCCCTAACCACCATGCCGGGCCTGTTACCAAATCTATTACTATATAAACTGAAAACCTTATTATCTACTTTAAAAAATGAATAGCATTCAGTTATAACTAAAAATGTTTACAAAAATACAGGTCTATGGAGTATATTGATCTCTTCAATCCATATCTAGGATCATCTAGGAGAGAAACTCAATACCGATAGAAATATGAGTCCCAAAATGTTTATTCATAAAAAAATAATCACAATACAATTACTAAAACAAAACAATACAGGAAAAAACATGGATGCGTATTCAGTTGTGTGTGTGTGTTGAACTGATAAGAGCAAAATGAAGACTTTATTCAAATGGTTTTACAAGTTTAGTGTGTTAAATGAGTTAAATTATTTTCCTAGTGTTTGGACTATAATATCCTCCAGCTAACGGTCTAAAATGAACACATCACTACAATCATGGTTCAACAAAAAACAAAAACGATTTATTGACAATAACAATAATTAGAAATATATTCAACACTTATCAAAATACAGTTAATAAACATGTGCCTGACCAGCACTTTACTCCAATATTAATAAACAATTTATTATAAATATTAATAAATCAATAATAATGGAAAAGGGAAAAAAGAACCAGAAATAAAAAAAAACTTATAAAAAAAATACAGCAAATACAATATTCCAAAAATACCTTTCAATATCAATAACAATATCGAGTGACAAACAGCAATAACTATACTCTTCCATAACTATCGTGACTCTCTCTCTCCTAGTGAAGCTTCTGGCAGGGTATTTATTCATTACCTGTGCTTTGGTAAGTGTTGAATTTATTTCTAACTGTTGTTATTGTGAATAAACTGTTTTTGTTGTTGAGCCCTGATTGAAGCAGCATGTTCATTTTAGACCGTTACATTGGCGCCCGAACAGGAACATTTTCATAAAGGGTGAATTGTGACTTTGGGTTTTTTTGTTTTTCAATTTGGTATCGAGTGATTAATTTAGCAATAATTTAAGTTCAGTAAAATATAAGTTAGCTAGTGTTTGAAAAAATAACTGTGTTAGTATGGAAGTTAGTGGTGTGGAAAGCTTGAAGTAGTTTCTGTCAGTATTGACAGAACAGGTGGAAATGCTAACACACATGGTGATTGATCTATTAGCAAGAGAACCTAGTCTCCCTCCTCTCAACCACAAGCATCGAGAGTTCATTCTACCTACAGACCTGTGGAAAATTCAGCGATTTACGTTACCTTAGTCAACCCACCACCCCTGCCTGTTGAGAAGTTCGACAGTATGTCGGATTTTAATATTTTAGAGTTTCTTAAAAATTTAGAAAGACATTTTTCTATGTATCAAGTACCTGAGAATAAATGTGTGGAAACTGTGGTTTCTTGTTTGAGGGGAGGGCCACTAGAATGTTGGAAGGCTTTCGAACACTGGAGAGAACTTAAAGAAACATTGACTAATTTGTACTCAACAGTGTTAGATAATATCGAATTGGCTAAGGAACTCTTTAGTAGGAAGTACCACGCTAATTCAGGGGAGTCAGTTGAGATGTTTATTTAGAAACCTGTGAAAATTTATAAATTATGGAACCCTGAAGCTACAGAAAGAGAAATTGTGAAGTGCATAATATCACAATCGCACGTTTCTTTACGAGAATACTTGGGATGCTACTTTGTTATATCTATTTCTGATGTGCTTAAATTTACTGAACAATACGATCATCGCCGGAACAATAAACAAGAATCTTTTAATAGTGAAGTGATTAAAACTGAGCATCATAATACTAATAGACCTGTGCGACGCTATACTTGTAATCAAATAGGGCACTTATATATGCATTGTCCCAAGAAAATGAAATATGTAAGTAAGAAACAAAGGACAGCGGTCGGGAAACGAGAGCAAGGATCAAAGAAGGAGGTTTTTAACCTTAAACATCAGTGTGTGAAAGTAGAAGGTCGTATAGATAATGGGTTGGATTATTAGGTACTAAATGAACATATTTGGCAACAAATCAAGATAAATGATCCAACATTTCAACTAAAAACTTGGAGTAAAGGTAACGTGTCTTGCCGATGGGATGACGAACTGTTAACCGTTAGGATATTTTGAAGCAAAACTATTAGTAATAAATAGCATTGTGGACCAATGTTTTGTTGTCGCTGAAGATTTCGCTGTATCTTATCTTATTGGATTAGACTTCATTCAGCAACACGAAGCAACCCTTAATTTCTTCACAAATATTCTTGAATTAAATATGCCATCTGTTAGGCATTACTTTGACTGAAGAAATACAATGTTCACATTTAAAGATTCTGAACGATTAAAGTAACTTGTGTTGAAATATGCCGATATTTTTAACAATAAACTTAACCTCACAAACTTGTCTCAACATAATATTTATGATATATTGTTTATTAATAATGGTGTGAAGTACTGACCAGGCACTTGTTTATTAACTGTGTTTTGATAAATGTTGTTATTGTGAATAAAGTTTCTGTTCTTGTTGAACCCTGATTGTAGTGGCGTGTTAATTTTAGACCCTTACAAACGTATATTGATTTTTTTTTCATACCTTTGACTGATTCAAATTTTAATGCGTATACTGCTGTATTTTCAAAGAGAATTTTTTTTGAAACTTTCTTCGAACTAAAACAGTTAATGCACGCATTATTGGAAGGGAAAAATGAGTTCATAGTGACCCCATGTCTGTAAATATCATGACAACATGTAAAGTGGAATCGTAACATAGAAGCCATCACAAGATCAAATATAACCAGAGACTGTGCTAAAAGCACTTCACCAATCACATCAGAGCCAGAAGAAAAAAAAGTTACTGAACTGCTTGTCGTGCCATTTCCTGACACATGTTGTAAATGTTAACACAAACCTTGTATACTTGTTATGAAGCCTGCTGATCTTGGTTCCAGATACTATTAACGTCATCTCATAACCTTTTTGTTTATTTTTACTTCTCCATTTTGAAAAACATTCTTAGCCTTTATTTTTACATTAATTATCACATTTCCTATCAGTAACTCTGAAATTTTACCCTATATTTTATTTCTTTATATCTTGTGCTATTTAAAATAGAAAACTTCTGTACGTTTTGATCCCGTTAGCAACACTTGTGTCTCTTGAGAATGTGAGGAGAATGGCCAAGATGATCCAAGAAAATGTTGTTATTCAAAGATTCTTCAGCAACTAACAATGTCCGGTTGTTAACAATCTGTAAATATCAATGTTAGCATCAAACTTGTTCATTCAGCTATTGTTACAAGAAGTTTGCATAGTAATGGAGAAATAACTAATAGGAAATATTTAAAACACCAATGAAGACATAGCTTATAGAAAATAATCAAAAACACTAATAGAGACATAACTAATAGGAAATACTCAAAATAATGATGAAGACATAACTAAAAGGAAACAATCAAAACACTAATGAAGACATAATTAATGGGAAATAATTAAAATATTATGTAAAATAACAAGTTTTTATTACTAGTATAACATGTAATATTTCTATTCAAAGTTTAAGCAATTTTATATAAGAACTATAGGTTAAAGGTGAACCACACATTAATTATTATGGGGAAATAAACACCATTTTTGGATATGCATATCAGTAACTTGAAAGAACAAGTAGACACCCTCTTAAGGTTTTCCTAGAATGTAATGAATTTCAGGCATCTGGTGAAGGCATGATTTACAGTAATGTCACCCTATAATTCTTCTCTTTTAATTTGGATTACTGATTAAATACATTTCACTTTATTTTTTAAGATATTAATAAAAATAAATAGTTATACAAACGTTAATGAAGACAGAACTACGAACACATACTTCTGATACTAGACATTTTGCTGCACTTTCAATGTTGATGTTATCTTTAGCCGATGTCGGATACCAACCAATAAATCCATTGTCTTGACAAAACTTCTCCATAAGTGTAAGGTTGTTCACTGCTCCTTCTTTCAACATATCACACTAAAATATTGCAAGGATAAAACTGCAAAATCTATATATTAAATAAAGAGATTCATATATGATGGGCTACACAGGGGTCATTGAAAGACATTTTATTGTTTTAGAATATGAAAGTAAAGAGCACCATACCTGAGGACCATGTTTGAAGTTAATTAGATCTATTTTGTAAAACCATTTAGTCAATAATTATTATGTCGAAACGAGCCTTGTTTGATTATATGAAAATACAACAGTTTAAAAATAACACTTTTTAGTAATAAAATATGTAGTAATTTAAAATCAACTTTTTGTGTTAGAAAAGGGTCCGATTTAAATCCAAACGAGTTATTAGTAAAACACTTAATATCATTGCTTGTCAAGCTTGGTTGTTGTTAAGCACAAAGCTACGTAATGGGCTATCTGTGCTCTTCCCACTACGGGTATCGAAACCCGATTTGTAGAGTCGTAAGTCTACAGACTTACCGCCGAGCCACTGATAGAGCCGCTTGTTAAGAGAACAGAGTAAAAACTAATTTTTTTCGTAGTTAAAGCAAAAAGCAAAAGTAGGTTTACTCATATATCTTGTAGTAGTTAATTAATAAAAGTAATATACCTTTTAAAAACACAATGATTCATTATTGCACAAACAAAGACATTTTTCTACACGTTTTGGCCACATTTGTTCGGGCCATTCTGCTTGATGATGGCCCAAACAAATGTATCCAAAACATGTAGAAAATTATAATAAAAAAATCGTTGTTTAAATTTGTATTAATTTTATTAAAAGACAATAGTTTGTAAACTAACCTTGTTTGCTAATAGAACACAGGGTACAGTACTTCCATCTGTTAAACGGACCTTGTTGTCCAGGTCGTTTTTCCATTTCACGACAGCAGCAAATGTTTCCATTCTCGTAACATCAAAAACGATAAAAGCACCAACTGCTTCTTTGTAATAAACTCTTGTCATATTCCCAAACCTTTCTTGTCCTTTACATAAACAGAACGATTAATCTTATGTCGAACTGACTCACCATTATAGTTTCCAAGAATTGATGCCGTTAAAAGTTGAAGACAAACAGATCTTACATGCAAAATGGTCATAGGTTTATTGTTATAACTGAATCGAACCTCAATTTTAAATTATAAACTCAGACGTTTTGACCTGCAAAAGTTTTTATTTATTTTTTGTAACTTTCTGGAAGATAATCTTTCCTTAACTATTCTTGAATTTACTTTGTTTCATTCAATATCAAACTCCCTGCAATTTTGGCCACCTCGTCATTACTATTATTACAATTACTTTTCAGAATTGACATTCTAATATTAAATAAATAATGTAATAACTCATCATAAAGTAATTATCAAATACTATGTTTTTCCTTACAGCAGTATATTAATGTATCAAGTAATTAAAAAATACTCCTTTTTCCCTTACTATAGTATATTAATGTATCAAGTAATTAAAAAATACTCCTTTTTCCCTTACTGTAGTATATTAATGTATCAAGTAATTAAAAAATACTCCTTTTTCCCTTACTATAGTATATTAATGTATCAAGTAATTAAAAAATACTCCTTTTTCCCTTACTGTAGTATATTAATGTTTTCAATCTCTTATTTTGTCTTAGTGCATGATGTACTATGTATTTCATTCAAATACAAATTACAATGATAAAAATCTAGCCTACCTGCAATATCCCATAACTGAAGTCGAATCAGAGTATTGGAATCCCAGTTGAGAACCTTTAGAGCAAAATCAACTCCGATCTATTACACAGGTGTCAGGAAAAAACAATTCGTAGATTATATTTATATATCCAAAGAGATTTGTGCTTTTATATTTTTGACTTTACTTTAGTATTAGCGTCATTATATAGGAGGTTATATTAAAACGATTTTGAATATGGAATTCAGCAAGTCACATGACAACTACAGCCGATAAAAAGTCGCGGTGAAACGCAATATACCAGAACTACATTTTGACATTGTTTGGTTTAATGTAGGCCACCAAATATTGATCAATTTTGAGAAGGATATGTAACAGACCTTTCCAATGAAAAATATTCATACATCCAGGTCACAAAGATGTGTTTAGATCGGGGATTTAGAATTTCAAAGAAGGGTATATCCCTTTTAATTAACTGCATTGGAAAACAGTGTAATATGGATCAACTCCAGAAAGAGAGCTACAACAAGTCGTGACCTCGTTATTGTAAACAAAGTGTGGCGTCTTGTAACAGTTGAGAATTCACTAACACAAAGGTCAGTGGCAAAAGTCGTCCATGTGTCACAGGCAACAGTACACGACATAGTACAGAAATATTTTCGTCTGCAAAAAAACGACACAATTATGTGTACACAAACTGCTTCCATGACGTATCCATTCAACCCTCGCATACCTCAAGCAACGTAAGAATGAAACTGATTTCATGCTATTCTATTCGAAGACGTGACATACCAGTCAAGTCGCCGGACACAAGGCCTATGGATATCTGTGCAATTGGACTATTGAATGAGCTCTAAGAAAATTTTGTCCTCGTACATCAGTAGGTCCTAACCACCAGATCACAAGGAGATTTCAGCTGGACCGCAAGACGGTTGAAGAAATATGTATATCTTAAAATATAACAAAAATACTTAGTTTTACAATGTAACTTAAAATATATCCAAAAGTTAACAATATATGAATCGACCCGTGAAATTTTTGGATCAAAACTAGCTGGTCCTCAGTTGGAAAAAAGTTTGATAACTACTGCACTCATGAAAGCATCAAAGATGAGAGGTGGGCTTCAGATTTCACTGCCTTACGACACAGTTTTTAGAAACAGAAGCTCCGCTACAGAGGTATGTTCAAGATGCAAAATCGTCAGATAGAAAATGACCGGACTGCCAAAGTGGACTGCAACGACGTGATTGGGCTCCAAAGTCTATGAATATAACTTGCTCATTCTCTGTATTGAAACAAGTTTGACGAATCACTAACAGGTAATGCAAACAAATGTTGTTGTTTTTGTTCTTTTTTTTTAAGTTAGTGCTACTAAAAAAATTACAGGTACTTTGTGTCAAAAAAAAAGAAGCACATATTTCATTTAACGTTATAATTAATAAATAAATTAACACCTATATATCATCCTGAATTTCACTAACAGTTGAAACGCAAACCTTTATTTTTATTAACTATATGTAATTGGTAATATAAATTACATTCAAAGAAAGTTGATTTATACAGGTCAAAGATTATTAGATTACATATGTAGTAAACGTATTACGTTAACCACAATACCTACAGAAAAATGTAGGTATTGTGGTTAACGTATTACGTTTACTACATATGTAATACGTTAACCACAATACCTACAGAAAAATGTAGGTATTGTGGTTAACGTAATACGTTTACTACATATGTAATACGTTAACCACAATACCTACAGAAAAATGTAGGTATTGTGGTTAACGTAATACGTTTACTACATATGTAATACGTTAACCACAATACCTACAGAAAAATGTAAAGAAGCTCTGTGCTTGCAGTCACCACTTCTTTTATAAAAGTATTTTGGCAGTGAGATACATCAACAGCCCTAGTACACTATTAACAAAGACACCTTGATTGTGATTAAGTAAAGCTATATTTTATTTAGCCGATTGTAAGAATGATTTCGACAGTCGAAATTTAGCCTTTCTCCCAAAGTTCAAACATATTTGTTTTCTATATATCATTATAACAATCTTTGATATAACAAACAAAATAATTAAAAAATTACTGCTATATGTTAATTTTACTTGAATGCTCAGTTTGCGAAAAAGAAAATTTGTTTGAAAAGGTAGTAAAGTACAGCAGTAACAACAACAAAAGTTGGAGAAGAACAACGACTCTCACACGCATTTCAATCTGACTTTTGTCTATTAGCAGACAACTGACCCACTGTGCTCATTTAACAATTTGATGACTACGTATAATTGATATTACTCCTTGATTGGAAGGTACGATTGATAGTTAACTAGCTCACTGTTTAGAAAACCCCAAGTTGACAAATCCAAGACTATATCTCTGTACCGGAAACACCGGTATAAGCGTATAAAACCTGTAGAAAATAGGAAATAAATCTCTGTACCGGAAAACACCGGTATAAGCGTATAAAACCTGTAGAAAATAGGAAATAAAAGTAGCAGTAAGGAGTATACCTGTCACGAACATCAGAGACGTGCATTCCTACTAACCTGACACTATGTTGACTACACAGCTTTCTGTAAATGCTTAGTGTCCTACATAGCCAATCCATCTTTGATCAGTTAGAGATGTGTAAGTCAATCATACATCTGCATAACTGCTTAACCAAGAGACATTGTAAAAATAGTACATGATCAGTTAGACATGTGCAATTCAGTCATAAATCTGCATAACTGCTTAACCAAGAGACATTGTAAAAATAGTATATGATCAGTTAGACATGTGCAATTCAATCATAAATCTGCATAACTGCTTAACCAAGAGACATTGTAAAAATAGTATATGATCAGTTAGACATGTGCAAGTTAATCATAAATCTGCATAACTGCTTAACCAAGAGACATTGTAAACATAGTATATGATCAGTTAGACATGTGCAAGTTAATCATAAATCTGCATA